AGAAGAATATCATCCTAAAACAAATAAGCATTAGTGATAGCATTCTGCTATTTCTAAATTCCTAGAAAATAATGGGACTGAAGAAACCACAACTTGAGAATCAAGAGCCCTCACTCAAGGTCGGCTCCGAGGCTGCACAGGGGGTGTTAGGGAAGTCGTTTCATGAGAGTTTTAGGCTAGAGTACTGGTTGTTTACTGGGAATGTATAGGAAATGCCTGGAGAGTGTTTTTTTCCAAAACAAACCTGCTTGATCCTTCTCTGCAGATGTTCTGAGATGCCCATGGTGGGGGCTGGGGAGGGGACAGTGTATTAGACGCCACTAGAGGGTCAGGGTGTGTGTATTTGAAAGCAGCTGAGAGGGTGGGGGTGGGGCTATAGGTGAAATAAGAGGTAAAAATTTTGAAATTGGGGGGCAGGTACAGGAGGGTTCACTAGGCCCTTCTCCCGACCGCTATAGAAAACAGGTTCTCCAGGCCGTTCTAACACTGCTTTAGCCGAGCGGCCCTTCCCAAGCTTTAATGTGTCAAATGTGTCCGCTGGGCTAGCGCCCCACGTGCCTTCTAACGCGGCAGGTTGGCGGGGGGCCCACGGGCCTCCAGTCTGAACAAGGCGCCCCGCGACGCTGCCACTGGCCGCGTGGGGACCGCGCCTGAGGAGCAAGGAGGTGACACCACCCGGGACCAGGCCGTCACCAGCCCACTGGGCCATCGTTTGGTAAGTAAACATACAAATCAGGTCACGCCACTTTTTATTAATATGTAAAAATGGAGAAGGAGAAATATTCGCTATCAGCTCAAGACAACTGCTTAGCTGGTGCAGCTCACCCACGGCAGAGGAGAGTCTAGATTATGATGTCAGCCGAGACTGGGACACCTTCAAGACTGTCTGACACGCAGCAGCTCCCGTGTTTACACACTGAGGAGGGCGCAGCCCCAGAAACGTCCTGACACGCCGCTGCCCAGATGCTGTCACCATGAAGCTTATTATCAATTACGCTTTACACGGGAAAGTAAGCTACGCCGTCACACTCTCCCTGGCCCGAGATCCGGAGCTGTCAAAGAGCGTCAGCTTTAACTCTGACAGGGAGGAGAAAATGATCTGTTATTCTGACCTCTAATTTCTTGACATTTTAATGCCATAATTGCGGCGGTTAGTGCTGCTTCCTGGTTTCACCTGCGGGGGGAGAGGGGGTGAGTCAACAACCTGGAGCCGCTTCCCACGTTTTAGCTCCAACCTCAAAGCTCGAAATGTGGAATTTTTATTTTTATTTTCCAAAAGGAATAGTTATATATTAGATATTTCTCTCTTCAGAGTTTTGTCTAAGGATTGGAAAAACCGCCTTCCTTAGGCTGGGTGGAGTTCAGTGGAAGGCAAGTGTGACAAGTCTTCCCGTGGTTTTATTTATGTAAAATGTAGGGATCTCAGCATTTAGATTCTGGGATAAATACTGTCAAATAAAGGGAACAATGCATGTAGCTCAATACACGGGGCAGCGTTTGGAGCACAGCTTTGTGCCAGGAGCCTGTGCCTGCCGTCCCCGTGGGCGCCGGCGCCCAAGCTCCCGGGCTCCAAGGCGATGTTCAAGCGAAGGCGCCGGCCTCCCAGAGGGCCCCACCCCAAGGGGCCCGTGAGTGTGAGGGGGTCCAGGCAACTCCCAAAGGACGGATACGCCACACTTCCCTCCCCTTTCCTACAGGGCTGCCCCTTCTGAGAGAAGGCGCTCTGTGCTTCTGCGCCAGCGAACGCACGCCCTCACGCGCCTCCTTTACGGAGAGGACTGGGGCGGCAGGAGGTCGGCCGTGGCCGCCTGGAGAGCTCAGGGACCTGCTGGCTCTCCCCGCAGCAGGGTCCTGAATGTTTGCGTGGCACTTCCCGGGTGGGAGGCCGGGTAGGGGGTAGCGAGGGTAGAGGAACTCGTGTTCCATGAGGCCATTCCAGCTGTTGGCCTGGTGCAATGTGCTGAGCTGGCCCCGTGCGCGGGGTCAGGACGCGCATCCCTGCTGGCGCGGGCTCACCCGCCGGCTGGGGATGCAGGTGCTGTGTGGGCCAAAACGTCCCAATACAAGACACGTATTTCATTTCCACCAATAACTTTCCTGACTTGCGTGTTTTGAGTGTGCCGGCTGTCCCCCGCTATTGGCTTCTGGTGGGCAGGGGCCGGGGGTGCGGCCACACGCCTTCTGACGCACAGGACAGCCCACGGCACAGAATGAGGCGGCCAAAGCGTCCCTAGCACCAAGAAACTCCGCAGACCACTTTGGACACATTCGGTCAGAGGGTTTGACAGCACCTTTTGCACATACTGCACAAATCCTTTTTTGCATATCAGTCGTGTTTTTACTTTTCTTGAAGTAATAAAGCATATAATACACTGAAAATAAATGTGTATTTTCTTCCACCTTCAATATTAAAAAGGCTGCACCGACATTCACCAGTTTCGATATGTTTTTTAAAAAATGCACAGAGATGACAGCCGTCACAATACAACTTAACACAATTGTTTCAAACGAAGCTAAAGACCACCGAGCGCTGCCAGAGCCCTCGCACCGGAACACCTGAGGCAAGCGCTGCAGGTGCCGCTCCCCGGCCTGGTGCTCCGCAAACCAGCGTTACCGCGTCTGGGAGGCGAGCACGGGACCGAGCGGGGGACACGCCCCTGAAGGACTCGCGGAGCTCCTCTCAGGGCGCCTCAGAGCTCGCCAGCCCACGCGGCCACGAGGCCCCAGCAGCGGCTAGTGACACGCTGTTCCCATCCCCCGCATCACAAGCAAACCCGGGGCGGGGGGCCGTTCCCCCGCCCCCCGTCCCCCCCCGACCACAGAATGTTCGACGACACATTTCCATGGAAGGACTCACTAGGAAGCTCAACAGTTTGGCAGTGAAGGCCTATATGCCTCTTTTTCCCCCCACAGCCCAAAGCCATGGTGTGGTATTTTGTAGAAGCGGGTATTTTCATAGGATTCAAATAATAATCACTATATCCATGTAAAGAAAGTCTCAAATATGATTCTATTTTATTCTCTCATAAATCTCTTTTTTTCTCTGACTTCAATACTGAAAAATCTGCTTCTGTTCCTGCCAATTTTTATCCCACCTTGCACTTTCATGACATGGAATGTGCTTAAAACACAGGGTCCGGCAGAAGTAAGGCCTGCGTGAGGGGGCTGGTAGGGAAGTAACACGGGCGTGGTAATTGACAGTTTTAATTTGCATATTCCACCTAAAAGGTCATGTGGCGTGCTTGAGTGTGGCGTTATGTTACGGAAGTACATGCTGGTGATGTAATAGGAGAGTTTGTGATCACGGAGGGGCGTTATTTGTGCCGGACCCTGCATTTGTGTTTTCCTAAGAGGATTACTGGTTAACCTACAACTCTCTTTATAAGACCAGAACTTGATAATGAATAGATAGATATAATAAAATATTCAGGAATAGTAAAAAATAACTTGGGAGTTGTCCTAAGAATAAAATAAGAAGCTATTCTAATCGTTTCCTCTTCTATGATTCTAAGGTATCCAGTTTGTGAGGAGTCTAACTGGGCATGTGCTAAGCAAAGGTGTGCTGTTAAGGGAATAGTCAAGCTCAGAACGATCCCCTACAAAATAATCTGATTACAGTTTGCACACAACTGGGGGGACACCAAATCAGGCGAGTGTAATGTTTCGCAGAGAAAAACCCCTTACCTCACCACCTAGTTCCATGGTGCCTGGCGTCCCTCCGCCCCCGCGCCGACCCCATCGCTCACTCCCAGCTTTAGGCGACAATCCCATCGCCGAGCGCACACAATGGGGTGCAGTGCCGTGCCGAGCCCCGCGCGCAGCGCGTCCTCGGAACTCCAGCCCGCAGGGTCCGAAGGCCACGATGAGGAGCCTCTTCCCCGCCCCCCCGCCTCCGCTCGCAGCCTTGCACACACAGCCATTTCGTTTTCACAGAGGTACCTAAGAAATACCTTTATGGAGCAGATCTCTCCACTACAGCTTTATTTTTCCAAAGCCACAAGATTCCCCCTCAGAAGTAAAAAATAAAAAGCCAAAAAGCATCGCACTGACCAGAAATGTGGACACGCTGGTGTGGCCGGCAGGTGTCTGGCAGAGGGAGCCCGCCAGCCACGGTGCCCACGGCAGCGGCCGCGGCCACGCCCACGCCGCGGCGGGCGCGCCCCCTCTTCTCACCTGTCTGGCCAGCCCGCGCGATGTGGACGTGATGGGAGTTGTATCTCACCTGGGCGTTTCCACTGGAAGCACGTTTCACAACACCCTGACGCGGCCATTTTTGACCAGCGTGCCACAGGCCTTTGTAGATCAGGGGCACTGACCTCTTTTCCCTTAGATTGTCAAAAAAATGACAACAGACAACACAACAATAGCCATCCGGTGTGAATGAATCAAACAATCCCTCCTTTTTGGATCAGACTGGCAAAAATTGGAATATTCTATTTTTGGGTGTCCCGCAGAATTTTAGTAATTAGTTTGCATGCGCCACAAGATGAGAAGGTCGAACGTTGCTGCTCTAACGTAGTTCCCAACTGTTCGCTATCAAATTTCAGGGTGAGAACATATGGGAATAAAATACTACAGCCTCATCTCTTTTAATGATGCATTTTTGAGAATTCTGTCTAGAAGGCTGTAATTTTGCTTTCATTAAAAAAAATGCACTGGCAGATTATTTTTATGTGAACTATCGTATTAAAATATTCAACGAGTCTTCGTTAATAACACACATAAGGCCTTAAGCATTTTAATGCAGATGCTGAAGTAAAATAAAATAAGGGAATTGGGTCGCATTCTCTGTGTCTGCAATTCAGAAAGGAACAACATGATGGTCTCCTTTCTTGGTTTTGACACATAACATTCATTTTCTCCACAGTCATCAAGTATTGAAATTTGTATTTTGTAAACAGTTAATGCTGAAAGGAAATGATACAGAGAGAGATGGGAAGTCAGGTTTGTGTTTGAGGGAGGGAGGGGTTTTTCGGCGCACGACGGGACCGGACACCTACCTCCCTGAGCACGGGGTCGGTGACGCTGTCCAAGTTCACGGAGCCTTCGTAGGTCAGGTAGTGGAAAACGTTCAGGGCGCGGACCGCCTCTGGCCCCCGCTGCTTGTAGCCGAAGATCAGGTCGATCCACTGGTGGAGCTGGCAGGACACAAACTCGCTCTCCAAGGCCTGGAACGAGCCAGGGAAAGAAGTGAGAGCGTGTACAAACTTTCAGCAAAGCACTCTATCTTCCATTACTCTGAAATATTCTCTCTGAATGAGCCGATATGCTCTTTACAGTCCTGTATTTTATCTCTGGTATTAGACCGCCTACTCCCAGAAATGGCAAAGTGGGCCTCTAATGAAACAGAAACCCAAGTGAAAACTTCCTTTCTTAAATGCTTGGTTTTTTCTTTGCTCCATTACCTATACGACTTAAATTATAATATTAAATAGATTTCTTACAAAGACACAGTTGTGTTTAAAAAATAATTGGAAATTCCTGTTTTAACGCCATTTTACAAGGATTTCATTCCTAAATTTTAAATATTATTTTTATTTAAAGTCATCACTTTATTTTTAATTTAAAATTTAAAAAAATGAATGCATTGGGGTGACATGGGTTAATAAAATTACACAGGTTTCAGGGGTACAGTCCTTTAATACCTCATCTGTATGTTGTGTCCTGGGTTCACCCCCGCCGCCAAGTCCCCACCGCTGACCCGCCACCATTGACCCCCGGCACCCTCTCCCACCCCCACCCCCTCCCTCTGGTCGTCACCACGCTGCTGTCTGTGTCTGTGATGTTTTTTCCCCCTAATCCCGTCACCTTTTTGACCCAGCCCCAATTTTACTAGGACATTTGATATACACGTATTTTTTTCTGCCTAAAATCTCCAAATTTACCTCTACAAAAAGAGAATGCTTTTCTTCTGCTACACATGAACTCTGCTAACGTACAGTTCTGGAACCACTTGGCCGGTTCAGACGTTTGCTAGCTGGCGGGAGGCGAAGGTAGATTACCGAGACGAGAGTCAACGGCCGTGCTAAGCCGCCGGAGAGGGTCAGAGAAAAAGAAGTCCTTTGCGTTTCCTGAGAAGCCATCATAAGTCTGCCGGAGGCGTCTCGTCGCGGGGCGTGGAGTTCGAGTTCAAGTTCACGCCAGTGGCGGGCGTGCGTGCGTACGACAGCAGCGGGGGGCCCACAGTGCCCCTCACTCACTGCACCCGCTTCCCGCAGGTTTCTGACCGACTCGGAGCACGCGCTCATTTCAGCGGCCCGGGCAGAAGGCTGCAGAGCCAGCTCCTTAAACTTCAGCTCCGCGTGGCCACGGAGAGCCGTTTTCTGCCTTACAGCTGAAACTAGGTGTGTGAGGTCGTTCCCCGCGTGCCTGTCCTTGGTGTCTAGGATCTTACCACCAACCTGAGCTTCCGTGAATAATTAATTACTGGAAATTAGTCCTCTGATTTAATTTTTAAAAAAATCTATAAAATGTCTGAATGACATTTTTCCTATGATCCCATTTGGGTAGTAATTTATTAACCTCAATCTCTTTCTTGATTTATTCCTTTCAAAATTTTTGGCATTTTAGTTTATTTCACTCTCCTTTTGTGGGACTTGGCATTTTATTTTTTCAGGTGTTGTATGCGTTAAATTGGAATTTCTCTATCAAACATTCAACAGTAATATTAAGTGGAAGCTTATATCCTTCTAGAAATTTATCCAGTTCTTCTTGATTGCTGACTCTCTTGCGTGACCACGACACCAGCCCGGGCGCCCCCAGCGACCCGTAGGCCTCCCGGCGGCCACTGGAATGCGGCCCTAGCAGGCGCAGCGCCTTCAGGCCACTCGCCGCGTGGCTGGCGCTCGTGTCCCGAGGCCCTGGGACCTGCTTCTTCGCGGCTGAGGTATCAAGGACGGGGCGCCCTCCGCTCCCACTTCCCATGGAGCCGGGCCCATGTGCCGCTGCCCTTCGCGTTTCCCTTCAGGCCGCCCTCCGGGCCGGCCTCAGACAAGGTCCAGGCCTCAGGCGAGTCCCTGCGTTGGAGGCCGGGACGCAGGCGCCAACCAAGGGGAGGGCGCCTTGCTTGTCCCACGCGCGGGCTCCGTGCCTAATGTTTCAAGTTGCTGCAGAAGGCGCCCAGCAACGCATGTGTTACGCTGTTGGCTTCAAAGGCTCTTTTTGAGCAAGGTGTTTTTTTTTTTTTTTAGTGTGACATACCCCAAACCCCAATTTTTACATCTCTCACATGAAAAACCTGTTACTTTAAAGTATGGAAATCATATAAAGAAAAACAAAACCACGTCCCGCTCCGCCTCACGGCACCTGCTCTGCGGGCCCAGCATCCTGTGTCCGCCCAGCCCCGGGCCCCTGCCGGGCCCCCGCGGAAGGGCCTGTTCCTAAAACGCTTTACAAAGGGGAGATGATGATGGATGAACCCCGCGTTAGGGTAATGTCATCAGAGACTTTCCATTTCTGCCCGTTGCGGGGAGGCCGGGTGATAATCGCGTTAGCAGACCCCGGCCCCGGCACTGTTTGACGAGCCGGCGGCCGGGGTCACCCAAACGTGCGCGGCCGCGGGTGCGGCCAGCTGATTCTGATGAGAGAAATCAGCGTGTTTAGAATCTCCTGAACTGTCTCCTAAAAGTGTCTATGTCACTGTCCCAGGCCTCCTGAGGAGCCCGAGTTTTGAATTATCACTGTCACTGCCATTAGAAAACATAAACGCCAACCAAGCACAGACAGTATTGCCGTAACTAAAAACCGCAATAGAAGAAAAGAGGTGCATCATTAAAAATCAGAGTCGTGTTTGGTTTTCACATCTACAGATGCATCTAATTAATGCCTTTCAATTGCTGGCATGAGACAATAAAACTGATAATTTACCATCAATGATATCATCCCTTCTCATCATACTATTTTTGCCTTCTTTGCTATGAATTTCTTAATGACAGCCTAAAAGGAGGAAAAGTTCATGGATGCAGAACCCACACAAGGAGATGAAGGCTTTTTTTTTTCCCTGCTGTGAACGTCATTTCTTTGGGATATGTGATATTTTCATTTTATACTTTAGGCTCATTACAAAGAATTCCTGCAACTAACTGAAGATAATCCCAGGCCAAATTATAAGTGTACTAGAGCACATTTTCTCTAAACCCATCTCATAAGAACTAAATCCTATATGAGCTACCCAGGCAGTACAAAGTGAGACACTTTTATAATGTTACAAAATAACGTAAAAAAAAATAGATGTGTTCATGGAACGCATGAAAAATTGATGGAAAACAAACACTTCCATATTTTACGACAACACGCAGGCTTTGTATGTTAGAGAAGTATTCATCAAATAAATATTTCTCCCGTGAAAAGGAAGCTATGCAGATGCTCGGTTACCTTTTCTGCTTTTGACACAGACGCCTGGCGGGACACGGCGGCTCCCTGTCCCAGCCCTGCGACGGCCGTGCTGGCCGGAGGGGCACACGGGCGTTGGTGGCCGGTGCGCTGCAGGGGCGGAAGGAGAGCATCCCCACGACACTGAGACAGGGAGGCAGCTGTGGACCCCGCTTGTCTGTGTCTTTGGGGCCCAGCTCTGCTCCCCAGAGGCTGCGGCTTGTCCTCTGGCTCCAAGTCTGAGGCCACCAAGAATGGCCGCCCTAGGGATCAAATCTTCCCTTTCTACTCCGTAGGGTCCTGTCAAGGCAAATCCAGGGAAAGCAGCAGGAGGAATACACACTTCTCAGGCCACCTGTCCCGTGCGGGCCCCGCACACACGACCTGGGACCGGTGTCCCCCGACCGGGCTGGCGGGGCCGCGGAGAGCCCGGGCGGGTCCGTTGGACCGCCCTGAATACGCAGAGGTCTGCGGAAGGCCTTTCACGCCAGGGAGTGAAGGTCTAGGCCACACGTCTCAGCAGACTCACCCACCCTCTAAGGTCATGGGCATTCGGTGTGAAAGAGAAAAACCCCAACGCCTCGCTTCTTTCACAAATATAAGGTAGAGCTTGTGACTTATAACAAATATAAGGTAGAGCTTGTGACTTATAACAAAAATGCACTATTGATTTCTGGAAAGGTTTTATGACAATTTCATAAAAACACCAGTATTTATCTCCCATGGTTTAGTCAGTTATCAAATATAAACCTTTTGAATACGTGGGACCAAATCTTTGGGGGACGGTTACTTCCCTGTATCAGAGGCAATCTGTATAGTGCCTGACCCATCCTACGGTGAAACCAGGGCTGCGGAGGTCATCCGTGCAGAGAGACGGTCACAACTAACAGGCCGCATTCCGCAGCTCCGCTAGAATTCGGCGTTCGGAACACGTAGTGCAGTTAGAACGCGTAGCAGTCTAACCCGGTTTGCTTCTTGGGCTGCGCTAGGACGCTGTATTTAATTCAAAACACGGGTGAAGTCTTAAAGCTTGGCCGTGTGTCCACAGGATGGCCCAGTCCGAGTCCTGGCTGCGAGGCCAGGGGCGGCGCGTGAGGAAGAGCAGCTGGGGGTCCCATGCCGCTCCGGGCCTCGGCCTCCTTCCTGAAATCGGGGGCTGTTCCAGGCCGAAGGCCCCGCGTGTGCCCGCAACATTCAGGAGGCCGGCTAAGGCCATGCCCTTCGTGTGCAGGCAGGAAGGCTGGCCTTCCTCTCCCGACCGTGGGCCCTGGGCCCCGGGCTCCCTGAGACCCCAGCTGGGGTTTCACCGGCTGGGACGGGGACCGTACTGGATGGGGCACGGGGTGACGTGCTGGGAACAGGATCCCAGAGAGCCAGGCCTGCGCAGCTGCTGGCGTGGGACGTGGTGCTGGTCGGGGGTGAGCTCCCGCCCGTCCGCTCCTGTCTCCTTCGGACCTCAGGCTCCCGGCTCCAGGACATCGAGATGGCTCGAGGCCGTCCCTGGGGCGCAGGGGCCGTGGCTGACGGCAGGGTGTGCTCCGGGTCAGCAGCGGCTGCCCGCGCCGTGACTCGGGGCGAGGAAGGTGGGGAAGGCGCCGTGAGCGAGCGCGCCGGGGAAGCAGGCGAGGTCCCCAGGGCCACTGTTCTCATGTAGGAGAAGCTATAAACTGGGTACTGCTGCTCACAGAAGCACCCCACTAAGGCAGGGCTCGGTCACTTCCTGTTTCAGGAGGCAGCTCCCAGACCTGGAGTTAATTGATCGCTCTCTGCCAAAGCTACAAGTTTGCATTTCCTCTAGGAACTCCGTGGGCACTGGCCCTGGCACTAACCCCGTGGGGTACAAATGGGCACTCACGGTAAGAAAGGGCGGTTTTACCCTTTGCATAAGAGGGCAGAGAACCAGGTAGTAATACATTTTAGAACAATAACCGTAACAATGGTTCTAAAGTTCTCACAAGCTGTGAAACTCTAGGAACTTGATTCGTCTGGAAAGTTGAGTCAGTGGGATTGCATTACCTTCTGACGCACTAGATGAATCTTCATTGTGATGTTTCTGCAGGTTTTGTCATGAGCGTATGGCCTTGGTTGTTTAGTTTATATCAATAGTAACTATTTGATGATTTCTCATTCATAAAAATTGTTAGTTTTCTCTACATTCATGAAATTCTTTGTACATATTGTGTTTTAGAAGGACAACTGCCTTTTCTTTCAGTTAGGCATGTCATTAAAAAAATTACTAACTCTGGGGGCATACGACATTCTTTCAGTCATGAGGAACACAAAGGCTGTGTCTATAATGAATCATGACTTAATGTTTTATTAAAATAGATCTAAAAATGTTTTAGCAGCCAGCAAACATGGGAAGAGATGTGCCGCTGTCGTTAGTCACTAAGGAAATGCAAACTGAAACTGTAACGAGGTACTACCTCACATCTACTAGAATGGCTGTCATTAAAAACCCGGCAATAGTAAGTGTTGGTGAAGACAGAGAGCAGCTAGCGCTGTGGTACTTTGCCAGCGGGGATGTAGATGCTGCAGTCGCTTTGCAAGGCAGTTAAGCCCTTTCTTAAATGGTTAAACATAAATTTACCATACGACTCAGCAGTTCTCCCCCTAGGTAGCAATGAAACATATGTCCACATCGAGATTCGCATGTGAGTGCTCACAGCCGTATTGTGCATAGGAGCTAAGAAGTGGAAACAACCCAAATGTTCGTCAATGACGGATGGAAAAACAAAACCCGGCTTATCCGCACAATGGAATGCCACTGTGTCCACAGGGGAGCCAAGTGCGGGTCCACATTGAGCTGTGGGGGGACCGTAGCGCTATGCTAAGTGAACGCCGTCGAGCACAGAAGGACACATATTATATGGTTCTATTTTCATAAAATGGCCAGAAAAGGCAAACTTAGCGAGACAGAAAGTAGACGGATGCCGGGCTGGAGGTGGGCGTGGCCGACTGTGGGCCGATGGAGATGTTCTCAGATTAGATGGTCATGCTGGTGTCTCCCAACTCTAAAAGTACTAAAAATCATTAAATTGTATCCTGAAAGCAAATGAATTTTATGATAAAAAATGATTTTTCAGTAAGCGTTCATAAGGTGTCTCCATTTTACAGGGGAAGAGTGTGAGGGGCTGAGATGTTCCACCGATTGCCTGGACAATGAAGCTGGTACATTTCAGAGCTCAGATTCAAGAGCAGGAAATGTCTAAACTCCAAGTCACACTCTTTCCTGTATACCTACTGGCATTTATTAAGAAACAGCACCCGTGTGAAAACTTCCGTTTGAGACAGTTGCGTTCAAGAGAACGAGCAGAGAAAATTGGACCCGACAACTTCTGCTCCTTGGCTTGCCTGAGCGAAAGCCTCACTCTCTTTGACTAGTCGGGAGCTAACTAGACAGCGTGCTGACAGCGGTGAGGTCATCGCGGGCCTGACTCATTCAGCCAACATTTGGCGCCCACGGCCCCCAGGCTGCCGGGCGCAGCCCCGGCCTCTCGGAGGACGCGGGGGAAGGAAGGGACTGAGGGACGCGCGAGCTGAGGGACGCCAGGGCCAAACCTGCGGCCGGGCCCTGAGGTGAAAGCCGCGGTCAGACGCGCAGGGGCAGGGGAGACGGGCTGCCAGTCCTGACAACAAGTGTGGAGTTTTAGGAGGCGCGCTCCTGAAGTGCACATCCTCCACATCGAGGTCATAGACGGAAGAAACAACCTGCTGTTCAAGGAGGGAGTATGAAACAGCTCCCCAAATCTGAAAGTGCCAATTTACAGATGAAGTACGAGTGATCACGCGGAAAATGTGTGCAACGCTCCATGACAGTCCCTCACGAGGGAGACGAGGGTGCAGATCACCTAGACGGCACCTTTGAACACAGGGTTACTGCTACAGCAACAGCTTTCGCAGATGAAGTATATTAAAAGCGAAACATTTCTTCAAGACAGAAAAATCTAGCTCCAAACTTGAAGGCAGAATGTCACTAGCAGGAGAGTCCCCCAAATAAAGAGGCCCAGGTCAGCGGGGGGAGGGTGAGACCACAGAGCGTGTGATCCTGTTTATGTGAAATGTCCAAAAAAGGCAAACCCAGGAGAAGACGGCAGGTGTGCAGGCGCCTAGTGTCGGCGGGGACGTGGGGACAACGACGTCTGCAACTGACCGTGGCGATGGCCGCACAGAGCCGAACGGGCTCAGGCACGTTGATTTTCTTGTTCCTTGAAAGGGTGAATTGATAGTATTTGCATGATACACTGTGAATTATATAGCTTTTACCAAGAAAGGGGTCTGAGGGGTAGGTAGACTCCATTGCAATATGAGGACCTTATTTGGATTCTGATTCAAATACATAAGGCGTTAAAATAAAACAAAACATATTTGTGAGACACGTGGGAAAAAGTGGGAGTGAAACAGGGTTAAAATATACATATTTTGGGTCATTGGCTTTATGGATGTAATTCTTCAATTGACTAATAACTACAGTACACTCGAGAGGTTGTGTGATAAAGCGGTTCATTTCCGTACATGATGACCACAGCGACGTTAAAGTGTTCTTAACTATGGATAAAAACACATTCAAATCTATAAAATGTCCACAGACAAACATCCTGAAAACATACTTTTTTGTTTGAACACCCAGACATCGGCCATGCAGATTTAAAAAGTCACATTTTCCGCACGCGTGTTTACTGACGGGTTGTCTGTGAGGGTTGGGGTGTCGCGCCTGAGCCGCGTCTCGCAGCCTCTTGCTCCCTACGCGCAGACACGCGCTGAACCAGGCTGCCCTGCCCCGAATAGTGTGTGAGTGGGGAGAGTGCAGGTCGAGTCTGGAGAAGAACGAGGCGCGGGAGTTTATTTTAAGCGCTTTCGATTGTACTAGTCGGAGATGCTCATCTGATCGCCTTCTCCTAGCGCAGCAAATGCAGCTCAATCACCGTCTCTTTATTGGTGCTCGGAAAGGAAAGCCTGCCCGACAATAAAGAACGCTGTCCAAAGACAACAGCACAATGCTTCCTTTTTACCCTTAAACGCTTAACCTTGTATTTATAGATGTTAAATGGCATTTTGTTAAGTGAGAAAATGAAGCTAGAGTATTTTCGCCCCTTGGTGAGCTCAGGCTCAGGCAAAAACGCAGCCTCTTACCATCCTGTTGATCCGCACGAAGTCTTCAGGCTTCTTTGCCCAAGGCGGGAGGTCGACGTCGTTCACTGCCACTTCGTCCTCTCTGACTCCCAGGTTGTACCCGTTGCTGTTGACGAACATCTCCGGTAGGTAATAGAACTCCGGAATCAGTTCCTGTCCAAAATAAAAAGGTAGCATATTAAGCCCCTTTAAAAATCAATGGAATAAAACTATTAATTTCTAGCTCAGCTAAATGGAATTAAATAGTTTATTTAAATTTAATATTTTATTACTTTATTCTCTTCTTAATTTAGTTTTCTGTAGATAAAAGCCTAGGAAGAGAAGACACACATTTTTCTTAAATAATTTGCTTGATAATTTATCTTTATAAGGTTTTCAATCTTTCCACAAATTAGTTAAGAGAAATGAGTTATAGAATCAATAACAGTTCACAATAGCACTGCTAAACAAATATATAAAGTTATATCTACAAGTCTGTGCTGTTCAGCAAACATTTCTGAATATTATTAATGAAATATCTAAATTCAAAGAAAGTTGTTGCCAGTATTGGTTAAAAATCACTTAATATTTTGTACTTGTTTTTTTGACTATGCTAGCAATTACAATTCATAATTTCTACAAAAAACTAAGTTTTACTTTTTAATTTGGCAAAACAAATTATTTTTATACACACTCATAGACACAGGGAAGAGGTAATATATGACATGATACTACATCTTAAATGTTTAGTGCATGCTGCGAACAGTCAATTCTTAATAAATCGGATGCAAAGACAGCTGGCATCGCCTGCATATAACAAAGGCATTAACAACTGGGTGCAAGGCAGATGCTGTTGACGTACAAAGTCTAACATGTATTTCATGCCACCTCAGAATAAATCTGATACAGAAATGAACTTCTGTGACCCTGAAAGTTCTTATTTGTTGTACTTTTTTGTAAAGCAACTGGGGAAAATGAAAACAAAAAGCCACCGAAGTTGTTACGTATGCTATCCCACGAAAAAATAGCGATCTTTTCAAATACCAAGGAGAGAGTTAAAGTAACTTTAAAAATGCATTGTGAAAAGCGTAAGGGCATTCATGTGTGCAACGTAATCAAACCTCTGTCCTCTTCTCTAGTGCTACACAGAACGTTGTAAAAGTCTATCAGACACTGAGGGCTTCAAAACAAATTGGATCCTTCAGCCTAAAAGAACATACACAAAAGCTTTCTCTTGGGGCTTCCGGTCAAGAGGGTGGAGCACCTAAACCAGGTACTCCCCTCCTCCCACAACGACATCAAAATTATTACTGAACTACACGACAACCATCACCTTGAACCACTGGAAATCTAGCTGAACAGAGGTCTTACAACTGCGAATATAAAGAAACCACACTGAGGCTGTAGGAGGGGAGAGGTGCAGAGTGGGCTGGCCTCACGCCCACATGTGGCGGTTTAACATTGGGAGAAATATCTGGGCTACAGAGGTTCCCCTGAGGAGCGAGGGGTCCCAGCCCCACGCCAGGCCCCCCGCCCCAGGTTCCAGGGCTCGGAAGAGAAGTGCCCACAACCCCTGGCTGTGACAACCTGGGGGCTGAGCTGAGCGACAGGGGGCTGCTGCAGTCCCGGGCGCCCCCTTGAAAAGGCCGACGCACGGACGTCCCCGGGCTCACTCCCTCTGACCGTCTGCGCTGGGGCAGCGGCTCGAAAGGCATCAAGGACACACAGAGAGGAAATGGGACAGCTCTCTCCCAGACAGAAGTGCTGGCAGAGGCCACTGCTCCTTCGCTGGGCCCTCCTCCCCACCCAGAGGGCCGGCAGGCAGGCGCCGTAGCTGGGTCTCCACCCGCGCGGCTCACACTGTCCGCGCCGCCCTGGCGAGCCTCTGAGACCCCGTCCCACCACACGACTAGTGGGTCCATGCAAGCTGTTTCCAGAGGCTCTTCCATACAAATGGCCTGTCATGGCTCACACTTCGTTTGTTGAAATCTCTCAAACAAGCAGCATCTGGCCTCTGTGGGTGTACCCCGTACCCCTTGCTAAGTGGCCCCAGGCCGGGCACTAGCAGCAGCTGACCCTGGTTTATAGTTTGGCCTCTCGTTAGCACCCCAAGCCCAGAACAAGTAGCAGCCATCAGCAGATTGCTCTGCACTCACGCCAGGTGGCCCCGGGCAGGGTACAGGTGGCAGCTGACCTTGGCCTGCACCTCCTGGGAGGCCCCAGAGCCAGCCCACCCACTGGATTGGCGGCTTTAGAACACACCGAGGCACCACCCAACTACGCCCATGAGTGACACGCTCGAGGGGCGGACTCAGTGAGCGCCAGGGCCGTGCCGAAGGGAGCCCAGCCCCAAGGGGCAGGCCCTGCAGTCAATCCGCAGCGGTGCCCCAGGCCAGGCCTGCCACTGGTGGGCCGGGGCGTGAGCCCCGCCCCTTGCGGGGCCGGCAGCAATCGAGGCACAGGGAGGGGCACGCAGCCCCCACAGGGGGCGCACCTGCAGTGCCCAGCTCCCACTGTGCCACAGGGCCCTCCAGGACGCCTATTACACAAGGCCACTCTACCGAGCCCAGGAGATGTGGGAGCTCTCCCAACACTTAGAAACAAACACAGGGAGACTGCCAAAATGAGGAGACAGACAAAAAACATGTTCCACATGAAAGAATAGGGAACAAACTCTAAAGAACTAAACAAAATGGAGATGATCTACCAGATGCAGAGGCATTTTTATAACACTGGTTATAAAAATTCTCAAAGAACTTAGGAGACGAGTAGATGAACTTCGTGAGAACTTCAGTGAAGAGCTAGGAAACATAAAGAGAGAAGCAGAAAACATGAAAAGAAACCAGTCAGAAGTAAAGAATACACTAACTGAAATGAAGACTACATTATAGAGAATAGTGAAGCAGATGAAGCAGAGGATCAAGTCAGAGGTTTGGAAGATAAGGAAGCAGAAAATACCCAATCAGAGCAGCAAAAAGAAAAAAAGAAGCCAAGAAAATGAGGATACTATCAGGCACCTGTGGGACAACTTCATGCATACCAACATTCGCATCATGGGGGTGCTGGAAGGAGAAGAGAGAGTGTAAGAAACTGAAAATGTAGTTGAAAAAAAAAGGAGAGAAAACTTCCCTCACCTGGTAAAGGAAAAAGACATACAAATCCAGGAAGCACAGAGTCCCAAACATGATGAATCCAAAGACGCCCACACCAAAGACACATCATAATTAAAAGGCCAAAGGTTAAAGACAAAGAGAGAATCTTAAAAGCAGCAGGAGAAAGACAGATATGTACACGGGTGCTCCCATAAGACTGTCAGCTGATTTCCCAACAGAAACTTTGCAGGCCAGAAGGGACTGGCAAGAAATACTCAAAAGTGATGAAAGACAAGGACCTACAACTAAAACCACTCTGCCCAGCAAAGCTGTCATTTAGAATCAAAGGAGGAACATCCTTGTCCAGCCGATCAGAATGCAGACGTAAATTACGGACTTGCTGTGAACTGTTAGGGGTTTGATGTTGGAAGGGACGAAGAAACTCTCAGGTTTCCAGCAGCGGGAACACTCACAGAACAGACACACGTTTACGGCCAGCGCAAATGCCGTCCTGGGGCACGGTGTACAGGCGGGGCTCCTAGGGAGGGCCAGGGCGGTCGTGACTAGCTGCCTGGCCCTGCAAGTCCTGAGCTGGGAAGTTTGTTTTCTTTGTTTTTTTCCCCAAGGGGAAGAAAGAATGAGTAAAACCACAAAACGTCTGGGGAGAAGCCGCTGAGGCAGAATGGCTATACCATCAATGCCTCAGTTTTACTGTTTTTAAATCTTGTTTCAAATAGCAGTTTACATTTAAAAGTGAATAATATAGATGTGTAAAAATTGCTTATGTGAAAAAATAAACTCATGAATACAAGTGTTTCCACGATGGGATTTACCTCCTGAGTCCAGGAGGCGCCAGGCGCCAGGTCGCTCTGAGACAGGAGCCACTGAAACGCTACCTCTGCTCCTTCAGCCTCAGACAGCAGGTGCCGCGGCGCGTGTGTGTGTGCTTGCGCGTGTGCGTGTGCCTTTCTCTGGGCTGGCACTGTTCTAAGTGCTTTCAGCCTTTCTCTTCCTCATCGCGGAAACGTCACCAGCGGGCGTCCGCGCCCCCCTCGCTTTGTTGACAGGCACGAGCCCGGGCAGAGCGCGCGGCGGGTCAGCTGGGGCGCCCGCACAGCGGAAGCATGGCCGGGGCAGAAGGCGGGCCCAGCGCTGCAAGCCCAGGACCCGGCCCCTGGGCGCGCCCCCTCCCCGCCACTCAGCGCAGCGCCCCTGCCGCTCCGTGCGCCCCGTCTGTCTGTCTGCTCGGGGCGGCGGCTGCTGTTTTCATTGCCTCCGCCCCGCGCCCCGCCGCAGCGGCCACCCCGTGGCAGCAGGGTCCTGCCTGCGCTGCTCCTTCGCGCCCCCCTTCCTTGCTAAGGAGGTGCCTGGCATACGACACGGACTCAATACGTGTTCGTGGAACGAAAAATGAATTGACGGTTGCTGTGTATTTGTCGTGCCCTGAATTTTGGGCATGAACGAGTGATGAAAATGTTGAAGGCCACGGTTTTCGAACTGTGCTGGCACAAGCAGAATTTCCTCACAGCTGCCACTTAGCTGTTGCTGAGGGGCGAGGCCGGGCGGGCGGGCAGGGGACGGACTGTTGCTTCTCCCACCGGGGAAGGCCTGGTCCACACGCACTGGAAAGATGAAAAGGGCAGCGGTCTTCCAGGGAAGACCACACACAGAGGGAGGGGCTGGCCGCGCCCGCTGCCCAGCCGGCCTGAATCCGCCCGGGGGTGTCCAACCTGTGGCCCGGGGGCCGCATGCAGCCCAGGACGGCTGTGAACGCAGCCCAACATAAAGTCGTGAATTTACTTAAAACACGATGAGATTTTTTTTTTGTGATTACGTGTTGCAATGTATTGAATGTGTGGCCCAAGACAACTCTTCCAGCATGGCCCAGAGCCGCCCAAAGGCTGGACACCCCTGCCTGACCCAGGTGGGCCACCCCAGGCGACCCCGCACGGACCCAAGACCAGCTGCAACTGATGAACCCAGTCTGACTGCAAAACACTGAGAAAAAGATGACCTTTTAAGCCATTAAGTTTTGGGGTGGCTTTTTGCACAGCAACACACGGTTCCAGAACGCCCTGGTCGGTCGGGGCCGCCGCTGGCTCCTGCATGGAGAGCTCAGGCCGCACCACAGCCACCGGGCAAAGCCAGGGGCCGGCCCCGCAGACTCCGTGCCCCCCGGCGGCCTCTTCGCCTGCCACGTGATTTACTCCCTGTGGCCCCATCAGGGGACAGAGACGAGGACAGCTCCCTCACGGGGCTGTTCTGAGCGCTGGGGCGAATGCCCAGAATGATCGAGAATCATTCAAGAAGAGCGGGCTGGGCTGCGGCGGCTGGCGAGGGCGCTCCCACGCGGGGACTTCGGCCGTGGCCGGCCCGCCGGGAACCAGGGCTCCCGCGCCCTCGCCTTCCCTGGTTAACCAGCTTCTCTTTAAGGAAAGAGTCGAAGTCGTTTAGAATTTCCTAAATGAACAACGGTGCAGAAAGACACCAAATGTTATTAAAGAAAGGGCAAGATGAATATTATAACGGGCATTTTGTATCTGTAAATGCGATTGCTGGTTTATTTTAACTGCCGTAGTCAAACCCCACGGGACGGTTAATGGTATTATGCGCGTTCCATCAATACGAAGAAAATACCCTCAAACGTAATTTCTAATTTACAAGCTTATGACAAGCTCAAGCTGCTGAGAAATTGGACTTGAAAGTACGCTGCAGAATGATAGAAGGCCACTATTAACACTATCATAATTGTATACCTATTGCCTCAGATCTGACATTTCAGTTTAATATATTTTGCTGAGCGAGCACACCATTTTACGGCTTCCCAGTGAAATCAAAACCAACCCAGACGTTTTCACTTTTCTGGTATAATTCATGGCAGGGTTTCAAAACTGCCATCTCTTTTCTCCCCCTTTTTCCAGAAGATTGATGCGCTGGCCTTTGCTAATTCCACGCGAGCTCCTAACAGGCCCACGAGCCCCTGTGGTAATTTACACCATGTCCTCTTAGTGAGACTGGGTGGCAGCCCCCTTTCCTGACATCTGCACAGCTGCTCAAACGCAACAGAGCAACTCTAAGGGCATTAAGGGGAATCAGTGTAAGAACTTCACTACGGTGAATGTCGCTGGCACCGAGATGTTCCAGAGGACAGAAGTAAGAAAACATAAAGCACAAACGCACTGGTCAGAGCGGGCGCGGGGGGCCCACCTCCTGCAGGTCCCCCGCCAACTGCCGGCCCCTCCCTGCCCCGCTGGTGCTCGAGAGCACGGGAGAGGCCGGCGCTAACAGAGAGACGGAGGAAAACCATCCTCTCGGCTCCGGGGGTCTCTTCAGTGATTGTGGAAGTTTGTAGAAATGGAGAATCATTTCTTTACAATGATATCACACAGTTTAGGTTTACAGCTTAGGGACAAAATATCCAAAGCTTAGGCTTTAACACATAGTGGGCAAAACTATAACATCACTCTTGGTAACATAGTTTTCCCTGCTAAATCTAGTATTATTTTAAGGGGGAAAAATACTGTACATGTTGATCAATATACTTAGATACGAATTTAGGAAATCCCAATGCAGCACCAGTGTTACCAAAAAACTTTTAGCATTCCCTTCATGTGAGCCTCAAATTCTGACGTCATAAAGGGAGAGACTATCGATGGAACACCCCCCCACCCCACCAACAAAAATGTAATTAAAATAGAGCAACACAGCCAAGCTGAAAGACTGAGAAATCATACAGGCCATGCAACCTACTGCGATTTCAAAGACCTTTTTCAAGTCAATAAGAGACACATGACCCAGCCAAAAATGGGCAAAAAATATAAGTAAGCTTACAGGTCAACAAGTGTATGAGCAATTGACAACTTCACTCACAATTAATGGAACGGAAGCCAAAGCAACGACAACTCCACGTTCACTTATCGGATCGGCAACAGTTGCCCTGTTTATTGCAGCAGCGATGGGAGGGGGGTGCGGGGAGGGGACCACCCGCACACGCGGCCGTGCACAGTGAATTACCGTCTCTGGGAATCACGGCTTAGCCATGTCTTTCAAAATTAAAAACGCACACAGCCTCCGAGCCGCCAGCCCCACGAACAGAAGTTACCCTTGACATCCACACCGAAGGTCCTCAGGACGCCTGCGTGTGAGTGCGCACCACAGCTTCGTGCTTCAGAGACCCGCAGAGTCGGAAAGACACGCCAGCCACCCACGGGAGACTGTGCGAACAAGTTACAGCACTGCATGCAACGCGCAGCCTTTAGAAAGAAGGCTCTACGCGGGAAGATATTTGAGGTGTATTATCATGAAACATGAGAGGTTCGGGCTCGTGGGGGAGAAAGGAGAATGAGAGCAAGCGGCGTGCAGTCGGCTGGGGAAGGGGGCTCCCCGTGACCCCGCGAAGTCGGGGAGTAGGGGTGATACCTGTCTGTACTGGAGAAGGCTACTTGAGAATAAAAAATCAAAAACCTCCCAAATTAGCCTCAGCCCCATTGGTCTTTGTCCTTGACGATGCCGGGCCAGGAGCCAAAAGATTGCAGTTAATGACAAAACGTAAATGTTTCTGGAAAGTTTCGGACAGAGGCGGCGTCTCCCCGCCGTGTTAGAAGGGCTGGGGGCGGCCGTGGGTCCTCAGAGACCGACATGCAACGTGGAGAGGTGCCTGGTGATCAAAAGCATCAATAAAGTGCTCAAGATCAGGAGGAAAGCCTGCAATAAAACTCCGTCTCCACACACAAATGAGAGTGACTGAGTCGGACTCATGTGTGGGCTCGCGAGGGCAAGTCTGCGAGTGAAGTTGCAAGGCCAAGGCCAAGCTTCTCTCTCTCTCTCTCTCTCTCTTTTGGATATCAAACAAGAGTGAACAGGCATTTTTACGTAAAAGAGTTGGATATAATGTGGATACAACTCTGAATTAAGATATACACAATCTTACAGAGAATAGGGAGCCTTCAAATGTAGGTAAAAATTTTTGATTCACATATAAAGTATTTATTGAATGTTTTTTATGAACACTCTGTGAATTCGAGACTCCTATGGACTCTCCACTTCCGGTTAGTTCTCAAAATGTTATTAAATAAGAAACAGACTTCTTCCCTGCTTTCCCTGGTCTTAAATCAGTTTAAATGATGCTTTTTGGGTTTAATTTCTCAGTGACGTTATGAGTCTGTCCAGAGGACAACGTGGGCCTTAGGAGTTGAACACGGGAAGGGCGCATATTAGGTTATTTTGTTTCCCAATGGGACTGTGCCGTGGGTGTACATTAATATTCCGCTGATACTCATTCACGCAAACTGGCGGCAGAGAGCGAAGCGCGCGGGCGTGCTGCACCCCGGGGCCTTTCCTCTGCTTTGCTTTCAAAGGGACCCGGTGCCAGGGTGCCCGCTCCGCTCCTTACCCTTCAGCAGCGCCGCTGCCGCCGCCTTTACACCGTTGGCGATAGACAAGCACGGACTTGGCAACAGCCACTTTGACTTGAACTCACTGCCTCCCGTGGTACCAGACCCCGAGATGCAATGACACGACAGCATTTTCATAGCCAACAGCACGACCCTCGGGGCAGCGAAGGGGGAGCTGGCCCTGAAGGAGAAGAGCCTGGGGTCGGAGCCACACAGACCTGAGCCGTGACCTGCCCACGCCAGCTCACCAGCAGCACGGACGGCGAACGGGAGAGAACACACAGGTTGCACCGTTGTGAGCACAACTGCCGCTGAAACAAGCCCACGAGCGGAACGGCCAAGGCCCGTGCTCAACAGCAGTTGCGCCGCGGCGAGCGTCAGGCGCCTGGCCCCGACCACCCGGAGGTTGTGTGTGCTCGGTTCATCGGGCGCGCGGCGCGGCCCCCATGCACGCTCGAGGGGGGGCGGCGGCTGCGCCGCGAGCCTCCGTTTCAAATGCGGCTTGTCATTAATGCTTTATTAATTGCCGCAGGCTATGGAAGCCCGAAGCCGGGCGAGCTAGAACAATATGACACATTAAGGTCAAATCCAATTCCTGCTGTGTCTTAGGGAATGGGCCAAATATTGAGCTAAGAGCAGGAAAGCCAATTTATGGGCTTTTCTTTCCATCTCCTGACTATTCAATCTAGATTTGATAGCGATATTTTGAAATAATGAAAGCACCTTAACTGAATAATATAAAAGAATCCTGAATCATTTTCCAGGAGGCTCGAAACTATTTCCCTCAGTGTCTGTTAAGGTTGGAGGTACCACAGAATTTCAAAATTTGATGGGACAAGGCTGCAGTATGCAATGTCTTATATACCCGCCTAAAATGAAAACTTCGGCATAGCTTGAAATTGCATTGGTATCAACACACAGGAGAGCCCACCTTGACATCAGAAGTGTCCCTCTGGCTAGTCCTCCACGACCTGGCCACGGAGGAGAAGGTCCGGCCGGGGTGGTCAAACTTCCCGTCATTGGCGTTGAGGAAGAACGTGGTGAATGGCTCCTGCACGAGAGAAGGAAACAGAGATGACCCTTCTGCACAGAGCTGCCCCGAGCCCAGCATGAACCAGGACTCTCCCTGAAACGCCCCAGGGGCGGAGACAGTGCCGGCCCGGAGCCGCCCCGCGGCCGTGGAGGCAGGAGGGCCGGCCCCGTCGCCCTGCAGCCTCGGCGGGTCCTGTGCTTTGGGCCTCGGCCGCAACACGGCGGAGCGGGAGTGCCGCGTGACTCAACGGAAAGCGACCTGTCATGGACACAGCCACGGCTCAGGTTTCATTTCTCAGAGCGAACCCCGCCGTGGCCACGCGGCGGTAAGAAAACTGCTCCGGCCCCCCGCAGGGCGGCAGGGGTGCAGCAGGGAGAGGCCGCCCAGGTTCCCCGGCCAAGTCGGTCGACGCCCTCGTGCTGCACTGGACCGGCAGCCCCTCTACAACGCGCATCCCCGCTGCAGGTCCTCGCACGGCTTTCCACAGCTCCCAGGGGAACCTGCAAGCTACTGAATTCTCTTAAAGCCACCCGAACGCCCTGGAGCCTGCCGGGCTCCTCCCTCTCCCTGCTGCCTCCGAGACAGCCGAAGGTCTGGCCACATGGCCGTCACTTCCTGTCCCTTGAGCGTGACGTCCCCTCTGCCTGACACAGAGGGCCCTTCCACCTCCCCCTAATTCCTGGGCGAGGCCCTTCTCATCCGCTGCGCCTCAGGCAGGGTGTCACTTTCCCCTGACAGACCTTCCTTGATCCGCCAAGCTCCAGGGCGGGCTCACGCGCTCCCTGTATCTCCTCCAACGCGTCACCGCAGCATGGGCCACACTGTCTCGCAGCAGGTTTTTACTGTCCATCTTCCCCACTACAGGAATAGGCTCCACATCTGCCTTATTCACTGTTCTATCCCCACCACCAACACTCTGTCTCCTGGGGCTAGAAGTCGCTCAGTGTGTTGCCGTTGGAGGAATGGGTGACGGTCGGTGCAAGCAAGACGACTCCCAGCCTAGTCCCTCTCAGGCTCTGTGGCTGTCACCTTACAGTGACAGTGCACGGCACTCCTGACAGGCCCCAACAGCTGCGAGCCAGGGAGCCACTTCCTCTCAAGTTCCTATAGTGTTGGATATGAATGATTTTTCAGTAGTTAGGTTGGGAGAGAGACATTATTGCTGATGTCATTAACTTTGCTTCCAAATGCGAAAGGATTAAGTAACTCTCCTCCTCACTAAGGATTTCCGAGTTACCTAGAAGTATAGCAAAGACAAACGTACATTTCCTTTTCCATGGTTCAATTCCTTACTCAGGCCTAGGGTGAACGGCATGTCACGTATAGTTTCAATAATGCTAAGAAATCCTTCCTAAATATTTAGGTGTTTTTCTTTAATATATAACTTCTCATTCTTCTATATCCATGAAACATTACTTGGTCCCTTTCAAGTCCTCTTTCTGCCACCAGCTGTGAGGTCCAGCTGCCAGAGACAGCCACCTGCCTGGCGTCTTCCTATACTTCAGTGCGGCCAGCCGCCCTCCACTCAGTGACTCTGTGATGTATCACCCATATGTCACGTTCACTGCTGCCAGACAGAACAGGGTCATGAAAGAGAAGAGGTGAAGAATGTTAAGATACTATGAGGTCTGTCCAGAAAGTGCCCAGCCATTGCTAATACAACGAGAATCGTTTGTGTGACATCGATGTGACCTGGCAGCCAAAGACAGTGGACTGGAATGCACATGTGTGAACCATGACCCCTTCACTGTACCAGTCAGTGGGGTGGTGGACGCCACTCAGTGAGCATGTGTACTGGGTGGCTGTCACATTCAAACTGACTGAGCAAATAGAGCAATGGCTCTGCATCCAATTTTGTGTTAAGCTTAAACATTCCTCCGTGGGAGCTATTCGGGTGACTCAGAGGCTGCAGCTGGTAGCTGGCACCTTCATCATGACAATGCAACTGCTCATGCGTCATGTCTCATGCAGAGTTTTTGGTGAAGCATCAAATCATCCCGGTAGCTCAGCCCCACTACAGCCCAGATTTGGTGCCCTGTGACTTCTGGCTTTTCCCTAAAACTAAAATCACCTTTGAAAGGGAAGAGATTTCAGACCATTGGCAAAATTCAGGGAAATACGACAGGGCAGCTGATGGCGACTGAGAGAACTGTGAGGGCTCCCAGGGTGCCTACTCTGAGGGGGACTGAGGCATCATTGTCCTATGTACAATGTTTCTTGTTTCTTGTCTTCTTCAATAAATGTCTCTACTTTTCATAGTACATGGCTGGATACTTTCTGGACAGGCCTTGTCTATAGGTAAGGGGGCATTACTGATTCACCTGAAAATCAGCTTCCGGGAAGTCCACATTGCATTTAAGATTTTGAGTCATGCGAGAGATAAATAGATCTCACCGAAATTGTTAGGGGAAAAAAAATTACAAAATGTCTTTCACTTAATTAATTTGCTTCATAAAGTTTCAACTCCCTGTATTAAATATAAGGCAGTTAACGCGGTATATCTCACCACTAAATGAAACTAAAGTAGGGACGCACAAGTTCTAGGAGCAGCGATGGTAAATCGGCCGAAATGTGACAGATCGGAGCCTGAATCTTGGTGGACCCACTCACCTCTCTCAGGCAAGTTACTTAACCTTAAGTGGTAGTAGTGTCTCAGTGCCCTCATCTATGTGAATGTGGAACGACAGCACTTGGGGGCAGGTACGGGAACGAAGCAAGACCGAATGGCGCTGAGAAGGTGGGGCGCTTCTCCCCTTACACAGGTTGTAAGAACGACGGGCAGCTCCGTGCGCTTTGCCGAGCACTGGCTGCGGCGCACGGCCCCAGGCTGCGCCTCACTAGACCGCCTGCCAGGCTCTTACTTCCCTGGCGTTTGCCTGCCTCCGGGGCCCGAGAGCCAAGCACCAAGTCGGAGGTGCACAAACATTTGCTGGACACCCCTAAATCTACGAGGTTCTGTTGGAAGGTGGGCGTGGCTGCGTGAGAGTAAGATACCATTTTTCTTGTCAGCCCTTAGCCACTAGTTTGACTAAAGAGTTGTATATTCAGAATCCACTTCTTCATTATTCTAGGACGTTGATTTTTTTTTTCTCTTTACATGGTAGACAGAGATTACTCTACAGGGATCAAACAAATCTCAGTGATTTTTAACCTATTAAATAGATGTGAGCGAAGGCTCATTTATACACGTGAAACCTTACTTCTTATCAACCATTAGAAGCTGATCTCTGCCCGAACCTACTGCTTCTGTATATATATTACACGTTCAGGGTAAGATTTACAGTGAAGACATTCCAAGTAAAATGTGTCCTTTCACACTAGTTAATATCTGGAGGAACCTCAAACTCCACTAAAATCATTTATTCACCATTGGTCCACTGGCTGCCCACCAGGAAGGTCTTTTCAGAGCCATGAGTTTAGCCAAGTGACTTCACTGGTAAAAATATTAAAAATAATATTTTCAATTTAAAGTAACGTGGTGTGTAGTTAAGCAGTTGTTACCATCATCATACTAAATACATTCACTGAGGCTAATAATGAGCTTAACGACTTCGGCTCAAAAACACTGGAAAGGTAAAGGACAAATCTGTCGTCTGTGTTTTGTTTCTATGAACAAATTTTTAGCGACATGCGTGTTCGCGCAGTTTCTGTTTCATCAGCTCTTGCTGGGGTGGGAGTGAAGGAGTCGGACTCCCCCGGCCACTGGGGCAGACACTCGGCCAGCCATCAGGCCGCGGTGCCTCCCTTCGCGATGCGGGGGCGCACCGGCTCCCCGAGCGCCCGCGGGCGGTGCGATGGCCCGGTCCGCCCACTGCGGCAGCCCGCGGAACCGCCGACGGCTTGAAATGGCGCTGGTTAGAGCTGAGTGTGCTCCGGTGCACGGTGAGTTCTGGATTCCAAACAGCCAAAACAGTGGATTTTTTTTTTTTTTTTTTTTTTTTTTTTTTACTGGTTACATATTGAAATTATAATACTTTGGGTGCATTTGGCTAACAAATACATTTATTAAAATTAATTTCACCTGTTTCTTTGGACTCTTAAAGGCGGCCGCTGGAAATTGTGCCTTACCCGAGTGGCCCGCACTACTGTGTCCTTGGCCGCGCCCTGGGCGCCGCTCCGAGGGCGCGCACTGCCTTCGCGCCACACCCTTGCAGGGTTCCGGTCTGCGTTCCGTTCGGCTAACTGTGATGCATTATTTGGGGAGGCTCTTAGCGTATCAGGAATAGGAGCGCAAAAACTGAAATCAGGCTCTTCAAAGTAAGGCTCGTATGGACGCACACTTAAATAAGTTATAAATCTGCTATCAGACTAATTTGATTACACAAAAAAGGTGACCATTACTTTCTATAAATATTTCAAAGTACTATCATATGATATGATACGCTCAGAACACCCCTGATAACGTCTTTTCACAAGTGGTCCGTGACTTTTGTTCCCAGTCCCCCCGCACCTGAGGAGGCGTCGTGCTCCCCTGTGGTGCTGGCTCAGGACAGCGATGGCTGTCCTTGATGGGACAGGAGGCGACAAAACAGCCTGGAGGTTGGACGCTTTCTACGAATCCCCTTCCCTGACGGTGTCGCAGTCCCTGTGGGCATCCCACGCGCACTGGCTCATGAGGTTAAGGAGGCTGTGCCGCTTACAAAGTGGGTCCCGCGGGCTCCTTAGGCTCAGGCACGCTGGCCCTCGGCTTGCACAGTGAGTCCCTGACAGCAAGCAGGACTTGAACTCTGCTGACGCTTTCTCTCTAGGCTTTTTAAAAACTAACCTGCTTTGCTGATTTTTGTTAAAACATTGACAACATGCACAGTTAGTAAGTCCTTTCCAACTGGTGGCGGGAACGATTGAGTTTGGTTTTATGGTCTGACCATTTGGTGATCAGAGAATCTGATTTATTGGTCATTTGTCTTCTTGTCTGTCTTTCTGTGAGCCTAAAAAATAAGAATATATTTTATGTCTGTTATAAAGGATGCCAGCTGTCGGAGATCTTGGCTGGTAAATTTTTGTGCTTGGTGTTTAGCTCTAACCTGCGGCTGAAACTGCAGGATAGAGACTATAACTCTCTCTCTCTGTGGGTCTGTAACTCAGGAAAGCCCTCCCTGCTTCTGTGAGTGTGAGGTTATTTTCCTATGTCTGGAGGGTATTAATAAGTTATTACAGCCCATAAACTAAAGGTATTCTGTTCTGATTGGTTTACCGTGGTTAAAGGCAATTATATAAATCTAATATTCCCCCAAATTAACAGAAAAGAAATAACACTTCTTATATTTTCAAGTGCTAGAGTTAAAAAAACAAACAAACACATTTCTTAAGAAACTACTAGCTCTGCAACACTTTCATAAAACAAAACAAAAGAACCCCCCCCCAAAAAAACCAGGCTCCCATAATTAAGGTGAATTTTTGAACAAATAAGACAAGTAACTTTGGTCTATTAGAGAAAGTCTTGTCTTTTCCTTTATAATTACAGAGTTTATTGTTTTTTTTAATAAGCTTTGGGTAGGATTTCTTATAAACTAGTTAATCTAAACATCTTAAACTTCTCATGTTGGTTTAGGATTATGAAAAATATAAAATTTGTGTTCAATTAAGTGGAATCATAATTCCGACAAACTTTTTTTTACAACAGAAGTTGCCAGCAGCGTGTCAGTGTCGGTGACCGACGAGCTCCTTAAAGCAGTCACACTGCGCAGTCGCGGCAAGCCCAGGTGCCCTCCACCTGCAGGGGAGGCTGCGGAAGACCCCGCCCCGCTGTCCCTTGGCCTGAGGGCCACACCACGTCTGCCTTTGACATGGGAGGGGCCTTGCCCGCCCGACCGCCCACCCCTGCGGTGCCGGGTGCTTCTGAAGCCAGTCAGCCTTGGGCAGCGCAGGGGTCTGAAGGGAGCTGTGGTGAGGAGAACACAGCTGAGTGCACTGATTTGCAAACTTAATTTATCATTCTAGAATACTCTCAGTTGCTAATGGAAAAAAAAAATCAGATCATCTGCTCTCAGTAACTGCTCTTAACTACACTAGATTGAAGAAGGCAAGTCTAAAGGTAAGGAGATCGGTCAAGAGTTTGTGCAATAATCTACATGAAAAGTAATGGGACTGAACTAAGGAAATGCCCGCGGTAACAGAGAACAGACAATAGGCTGCAGAGGTAATTCCCTGGCAGAGCCTATCTGATGTGATGGCTGATTGCACGGAAGGGGAGGATAAATCAGAGAAAACTACCACACTTGGTAACCGGGTGAGTGGGCAGGCCACTTAGATAGAAAGCGCAGTGCGGACCGCAGGAGGTCGGGGGGTGGGCAGACTTGGGGAGCCCATGTTTGGAGATGGCAACTATGGTGTTGGGAGATGCTCAGGTGGAAATACTCGGCAGGACATAGAGAAACACACATACTAAAAATACAGGTCAGGAGCTCAGGAGCTCAGGAGAGGCATCTGCACCGAAGACGGAAGCTGGAAGTCATTAGCTCACAACTGAGGGACGCAGACCAGGTGATGGGTAGAGGAAAACGCTGTGCAACAGCAGCCTGCAGCAAAAGACATCCGAGGGCGAGGCCGGGCAGGCGCTGGGGGCTGAGGGCGAGCCAGGAGGGAGGGTCGTCAGAGGGGCCACAAGGGGGAAGAATTTCGGGAAGTCAGTGAGCAACGGTCGGAGACTGCAGATGCTGCAGATGCGTCAGTGAGCAACGGGGGGCTCCACCCAGCCCCCGACGTCTGGCCTCCAGCAGAACTGGACAAAGTGATGGGTGTGGGGCCCGTCCACCAGCACAGGCTGGGACGGGAGGCCGCAGAGACGGCGCGGGGCGGTCCGCTGTGCTTTAGCGCTGACGGGACCCAGTAGCTGGAGAAGGGGGAGGTAGCTGCTGAGCGGGGCGGGGAGCTGGAAGGAGACACTAATTAAGTCACTGGGTCAAAGAGATTTGAATATATTTTTATCTTAGAAGAATGAGAAAGTGACAAAAAAAAAGTCTTCTGAACACGTACAGACTGTTTTTGACATAGTCTGCCCAAGAAGGGAGGCCGAGTGAGCCGGGCGAGGCAGCCGGCGACAGTCAGTGACCGGGGGCAGCGGGGAGCGAGGGTGCGCCCGCCCCCTGGAACTGGGGTTCCCTCTGTAACTGGTGTAGGTTTAACAAGTTCATAACCCTCAATCTTCCTACCCAATTTTGCAAAAGAGACAACTTATTAAAAAAAAAACAACAGGATTCAGGTTTTGCTACAGTTTGAAATCTCTCATTTCAGTGGACCCCGATCTTTGTTTAAAACAAATGCGTATATTTGATTTTTATTTAATGTACTTATCTTAAAGGCTTTGAGGAATTAAAGGCAAACGGTAACTTCGCGAAGGTACTCACAATGCGAACAAGCCAGGACAAGGTGGACGTCGCTGTTGAATAATGTGTGTTGTAATGGTAGGGTGGGCTTTGGTCGTCTTCCCACGTCTCGTACCGCTCAGCATAAAACACGGCTCTCTTTGGGTTCAAAGCACCGATTGGCTATAAAAAGAGAAAAGAAGCAATACGTCATATTGGACAGTCTATTTAATAACTTTATCCTGACAGTATTCGCTGCTCATTCATTTTAACCATAGGATTAGGACAAAAATAAATGATTTTATATTTTTACCAAATTTAATAGTAAAAACAGATCATGATACTTGCTAAAAATCACTCCAAAAGATTATTTGTGTGTGCAGGTTTCTAGGTTTTACTACAAGTTTCACTGAAGTGGATTAGCAGAGATGACCGAGTTCAAACTTAAAACAAAGCCATGTTTTCAATGTTTTTTTGCTGCCTACTTCACCACCATACTGAACGTTTAGCTTGATCACAGGAACTCAAAGGACAAAGTGAAGCTGTTGACCACGGTAGAGAAAACCTCGTCTCAGCCTGTCACCCAGGGGGAAAGAGACATCGCCCACGGGGAACTGTTAGCCCCATTCTGTCCCTTACGGAAGAAGCCTGTACCCTTTTTATTAAGTTAACTGCAACCCTAAGGCTGGTGGGAGCCGTTCAGATGATTCATTCCCCGGGATGCATTTTGTCAAGGCCAGAGAGACCCCTGCCATCAGCGCCACCACGCCGCCGACTGCCACGCTAACCCCAGCGGTGGAGCACACGGTGCGGCTCTCAGGATGCGGTGCACATGATGCTTTCAGCAAAGCGTGTTAATTAGATCACTGTCTCCAGCTTCTGAGCACGCCTCATCATGAAGAATGCCAAGCATACAGTCCTCATGATTTCAAACAGCAAACGGCCGGAGCTTGCGTGTGTGTCTGCTTTTGGTGTAAATGGAATTGAGAGTCCACTCTGACACCACCTGAGAGCTCCATTGTTTTATTTTAGGCTGCACACTCCAAAAATATAGAGAAAACAAAATATGAACACTAAATACAGTGTATAACTCCTTTGTTTCAAATTTTAATATTACTAGATAACTATGAAGTTCCCCCCAAGGCTTCATTTTAACAAGAGGAGGAGAAAATTAGGGTTTCAATGGAACGAATAATGTTACCCAAGGGAGAAAGATTCTCTTACAAATGGCTCCTGAGCTTTTTCTTTTGGTCCTTGGGGAAGAACCCAAACAACACATGTTGTCAGCAGCTAAAAATCTCTTATAGTTTCCATAGTAAATTTTTATTTGCAAGGGTTTTTATCCTGAATTGGAAAATTATCTGTAAATTATGTTCATTTTTCTTTAACTCAATTATGACTTAACAAAGACTAAACAATTTAATAATTGAATTTTTAAAAACTTTGTTTTAAATATACTTTTTCAAGGCTCTAAGGATCAGATTTCATTGTGTTAAATCTCACTGGTATCCCTCAACTCTTTTTATTCAGATGTAAAAAAAAAAACCACCCATGTAACTTCATTAAATGTCATATAAAATATTAATATTTAAAACAAATATGTAATTACTTTTTTTGATAAAAAGGTAATTACTATAGTGAAATAAATGTGAGTTCTGTTATAACTGAGTAACAGAAACAGTAAGTTTTTCATTTAAAATGGCCTACGTATTTTTTATGTTCGTAGTTGTGCAGATGCCTGCTTTTCTAACTCCACACTGTAACTATACCTCTTCAAAGCACCGATCACGGCTAACATTCTCTCCTGCCTTGAAGGGGCCGGCGGGTCTTCCAGGCAGAGCGGCCTGCGCCGTCCGGGAGGACCGACCTCATCGGACAGCGTTTGTTCTGCCAGGCCTCACGAGACAGCCTCACAAAAGCAACACGGTCCTCCCTCTAATCTTTTCCAGCTTTCTCCTCAACTACTGGAAAACGGGTAAAGTAAATATTTATACTTTTTATTTTACTCAAGTTTCAGCAAAGTCTCTCAGTGGAGTGTTTTACACAATAATACTTTGTAGAAAACAGCTGCACAGCATTAAAGTCTGTGTATGCCTTCATTAGTAACTGTAAAATTTTTTTATTGATTGATTGATTTTAGAGAGAGAAGAAGGGAGAGAGAGAGGAAGGGGCTGGGGTGGGGGAGAGATCAATTTGTTGTTCCGCTTATTCACGCGTCCATTGGTGGATTCCTGCGCGCCCTGACCAGGGATGGAACCCGGGGCCTCAGCGTATGGGACGAGGCTCTAAGCAACCGAGCTCCCTGGCCAGAGCTTCACTAGTAAGGTCTTAAAATAAATTTCTAAGTTTGAATTCTAATCTAATGCATTTAGCAATAGATTTTATAAAACAAAACGTCTATCTTCTACCTACCTATTTACCTTTGTATAAATCATTACTTATGTATAAATTTGTTGTCCTTTTAAAATTTGAGCAAATAATGCAATGTCAATACCATTTGAATTTAGAAAATGAATAAGGATTCTTGTGAAAAAGTAAGACGAGACTTAATGAAATTTATAAATTTATTTTGTAACCCCTTCAATTTCTACCATAACTACCACAATTACCTCAATTCTTTTTCCTCAGACGGGAGGCGCACACACACAGACGCCTCTGTGCTTTCTAGGTATTTTGGAATGAAAAGGGTTAATTGAATAGATCTTGCTATTAGGTTTATTAGGATTTTTGTCCTTGTGAGTTTATATGCTATAAGTTGACACTGTTAACAGATAACAGAAAATAATGCCAATAAAAATACAAAAATTAAAAATAGAATTTCTACAACACTATTATTTGAGTTCAGTTTCTAAAACTGCTATAAAGTCTACCGAGCTTGCCAAAGCACTATTTTCAATACAAAATTAGTAGAATATTATATATGTAAATTCCTGTACCTACATGAAAGGCTATTAAATTTATTTAATGAATCGTGTTGAGGCATGGTCAATGCCATTAAAATCGGTTCCAATTTTTAAGAATAAAAAAAGGTTTGCAAGGAGATAGCAGAGATCCAATTAAAGTAATATTAATCACACCACATTCTTGTATATCAGAAAGTAAACAAGCGCCCACAAGGCCCGTGGAGCGTGGGCCCCACTTGCGTGCATCGGCGCTGGGAGCTCACCAGTGCTGGGGCGTGTACGAGGGCGCTGTATATTTGTATTGGAGACTGTTTTCACACCCGTTTTCTACGTGGGTTTTCACGCGTCTCTGAGGTGGGCAAGACATTCAGGAGGAACCCAAGTTCCTGATGAGGAAAGGGGCACCTGCATCTCCCCTCTTCCCACGACGCTGCGTTGCCTCTTCCCTGCTGAACAGGAAGTCCCATCTGACGCCCTTTCTCTTGTGCATAAGTACCTGTGCACTCGATTCCTGATCCAGCATGGACCCTCGGTGATGGAGCGAAGCTTACCGGCCTGTGGTCCGCCTCCCCTACCTTGCAGATGGGGACGATGAAGAGAAGAAATGTCAAATCAAGGCCATGTGGCTGGTGAGAGGGTCTCCATGTTCCAGAACCTGCTGCAGCTCTGGGCTCGACCCAGCGTGGAGCTGCGTTTGATGGATGCCTCTGTTTGGCTTCCAAGGATTACGTTCAGTTATGTTAACACTCTGGGCACATCCGAGCCTCTAACGTGTTTCGCTTATCCTGTTATCGTTCACGATAACAACCGAGGCCCTGGGAATCCCCGGGACAGGCCTGCGGTAGTGCTGCCTTTTTTGTTTTTGCAGCCGTGTGCCATATAACATCGTTCACAAACTTCTCGGCGAAGACGCTGGAGGAGTCCTGCCGACCGATGCAGCTGGGCTCACGTGAGCTCCCTGCGTCTCCGTCCTTCCGACCAGGGAACTGCAACCCAGGCTTCCGGAAGTAGCTCACCTTCCTGTGCAAAGGCGCACACGGTGCCATCTGGTAAGAGTTAGGCGGGTTTATAACTTGTTTACCGCAGCACGCTGGCCCTTCAAGGGCACGTCCATGTTTTGTTCGCCTCTGTCATCCCAGCACCTGCCTGGCTCCTTTCAGGTGCCTAATAAATGCCGAATGAACAAAGGCTTGTTGGTCTGATTATATGTTTGATAGTTTACATTTCCCTATGAAAATTTTAGACAAAATTTTTAGGCAAAATCAAAAGACAAATGACAAAGTGAAAAATATTTATAGCACATTTGCTAAAGGGCTGGGTTTTTTGTTTTTTGGGTTTTTTTGAGAAAATAAACTTTTACAGATCACTGAGAAATGAACGAACAATCTAATTAAACAGACAAGCAAATAAGAAGGCCGTGGACACACACATTTCTGGTACGTGCAGGAAAAGCAGCGCCAGCGCGGGGCAGTGTCGCCAGTGTCTATTCCCTTCCCGACCAGCACACCCCACCCGCCTCCCTTCAGGAGCCTCCCCTGCCCCACGCTGGGCCCCCTGGCTCATGCAGGGGGGCGGACTCCAGCACCGACCCCTGTGCTGGGCGCGTGCCCCAGACCCGCCCGTCGGCTTGTTCCATCCACCTGGCCCCCGAGACCGGCGCGGAGGCGGCACGGGGGTCGCGTTACCCCAGTGAGGCTGGGCGGGAGTGCCTGGGGAGAGCAGTGCGCCGTGTCCACGGGCCGCCAGGGCACCCCGATGTCGGGTAGGGAGGGCGGCCCGTGTGCGCGCCAAGCCAGTGGGGGATCATTCTGGGACCCTGGTGCGTCCTGGGATCCAGGTCTCCTGAACCGCCCCGCCCCCCGCCCGGACTTCTCAGTTGTACACGCCAACGGAAACTTTGTATTTTCAATTAAATCCAGTTTTTAGTTGACTTTGGGGCGTGAGAGTAATGGGAGTTTTTCGACTTCCCTAACCCATTTTTACCGTTTGAGCAAGAACTTCATTTATCCCGTGTATAAAATTTTAGATGGCTTTTTCAGTTACATCACCAGGAATATGTTTCAAATGTGGACATTTTTTGTTTCTATAAATTTTAATCAATTACAGTAACTTTAAATTTCCGCTAGCAAACAATACAGACCATATATTTCTGAATGGAAATTCCTGGTACCAATCTTCACTGACATTTGAGTCTTTGCCTATCAAAACTTTACTAGTTAAAACAAGTCAAGTGTCAACACGGGGAAGAAAAGACAACCGGTATATTCCACAGGATAACCG